CACGAACCAGGAAATGAACTCTAGGAGTAACAGGTGCTACGTTTGTCGTGACTAAAAATTACAGCTATAATAAAACAGGAAAAAATAATCAGAGCAGATTCATCTCACTTGACGCAAAATCACAGATTTTGTGCAATGTCTAAAAAAACTTTCGGACGAAGCTAAATTTCATTTAGCTCTTTGCTATCGTACACCTGTTACGCGATGTTTAAAGCTACTGTAAAGCTAAGTTGCTAACTTGGCTCTGTTTAGTAGTGTCTTCGCATAATTATTGCTATTTCACCACATTTTGCTACCTTTAGCTTTTTTTTAAAACAGCCTGTCTAAGTTTAGCAAATGTTGCTACATACATGTCTTTGCTAACATTAGGTTACCGCAGCTCTGACTCATTTATTGTCACATTTGTCCTAAGGTTCGGATTTCTTTGGTCTGTTTTTTAAATTCAAATTTGAGCTGTATTTAGTTATCCAGGATTACTCAGCTAACGATTTCTCTCCTAGCTAATTTTCAAGCAATTGTTTGCAATTGCAATTTTGTCTGGTCTTTTATTATTCTTGGTCAACTATTACGCTTTTCATAATTTACTTAACAACTAAACCCTTGATTTAATAACAACTTAACCCTTGATAACCCTTTTGGACTGAAATGAGCCAAAATGTAATCAAATATGCTAATAGCATACGCTAAATGGCAACAGACATGACAGCTGTGCTAGCTACAGAGGCCTGGCAAATTATTTCCCATACAGACAATACAGTAGAAGACCATTTAAGAGCACGGATTTATCGAGGTGGTTTCTTACATTAACATGTAACCATCCCTCGAATTTCACTCAGCTGTGTTTCAAATTTCAATTCTGTGATTTTTAACACGATGAGACAGACACTGGTCCCACTGTCCCCCCGTGTGGTCTCCGTCCACCTGCCTGTCGACCTCGCGGTCCGCCCCTGCTCCTCACAGTTTGGTGAAAACCCATATGGGAGAGTTTCTGCTCAAGCGTCCAACCACCGTGCCCTCACCCTCCTGCCATCTGTTTGCTCCCCTCCACTCTGCTGCAGCGTTGCCAACAGGACAACTCAGATGGTCAGCAGTGTCCTGCCACCTGACCACCCACCCACAAACCCAACCACCCACTCAGTCTGGCCTGGATGGTCCTCTGAAGGACAACAGGGACGAGCAGGCAACCTCCGCTGCTCTGCCACAACAACCACAGCATTTCTTCAACTGAAGATGCAGATAACGTTTTGTTTTTTCTTCAAGACACATCAAAGACACAAATGATAATGTCGTTTTTTTTTGTGTAAGAAAAAACCCAATTTAAAGTCATATAGAAGTTATTAGCTGGAACAAAACACTATTCACTATTCAGCGTACTTTCTACCTTTAAATGTCTTTGAATAAACTGTGATTTTTTTTCCCCTCAAACTCCTCAGGTTTCCAGTCGATTCCAGACAAACAACAGGATCTGTTCTTCACGGCTGCTAAAAACTTGTTTGATTTCACACAGCGGTAGATTCACACCTACACGAACAGAACTGTAGTCAAAGACGACGCATAAAGACAGAGCAGCCGAGCTCCCGTCCTCGTCTCGCTGATCTCCACTTCTGCCTGGACCTGGTTTCCCAGAGCAAAGGTTGTGGAGAAACAGCTTTTTGTGTCTCCTTTTCAGGGATCACTTTGTTTGTTTAAACATTTTTTGGCTCGTCAGGAGGACATGTGCTCTCTCCCACTGAGCTCCACTCACTCCGTTTCTGTCCACACCTTGGCACCAATTTGTCCTCCAGAAGACAATTCTCTGCCAAGTCAGCAGTAACCAGTGAGCAAGCAGCGTGTAGGAGCAGGTGAAGAACAAGCAGCCACCTCTTTCTGCTCCTCATCACTGACACAGTCAGTTCACATCAGCTCAGAGGATCGGGGGTTTTAAGACATTTTATTTCTTTATTTAAAAAGAATAAAGGCTTATAAAAGATAAACTAAAATACTTTTAATGATGATTTAATTCAGATATTTTGACTAATATTATTTTGTAAGAGAGAAAAAAAATACTAAATTATTATTATTATTACTTTCTTAAATATATTAAACAAGAATTTGGATTTTATTATTGAAAAACTAAAATATTTGACAATTGTTTCTCTTAACGGCACGTGTTTTAATTTTATTTTTGATATTTAAAATATGATTTAGGTATCATTATAAATCTAATTATTTATATGAATATATTTCATTTAATTTCAGTTGCATTTCCAGCTCATTTACTTGTAGGTGTATACAGTTAGTGTGAACTCCACTTCTTATTTGTTCTGAAAAAACAATTATCAGCCCTGTATTTAGATAAGAATAAATCATTTATTATTTACATAATTAAATATTGTGATAATTTTTCCAGATTTCATTAAAAAACCTAAATGGTATTGCGCTAATTTTGCAGATTATATCATAAAAAAAAGAAATCAATAAATCAATTTTACCAATAACTTTTATCTAATTTAACGGCCACTACAACAATGTTTTATACTATAATATAAGATGAATTCTAGGAAAAAAAGTAGAAAGTATTTTTTTTGATATTTTTAGATTAAAAACACCTAAGTAAATAAAGAGATTTTTCATGTTTCTATTTCCACAAATTAAATTATTTGTGGGTCTGAAGCCTCACATACACAGTAACAACTGCCCATTCTGTCAATATGGCTGTGGACGGATGGACATGGACATGGACGGATTTAGAAAATCTTGTCTACGCTGGTTGCTGACATCAGCAGACATTTTTAAATAGTGAGGCTTTTTTTTCTTCTTCATATAATTCCCTGAAAACAAACATCAACCATAATATTTTGATGTTTTTCTATGCTAATATTTTCACAGCGCAGTAATATTTTAGCAGTGTTTGTGTGTCTACGTGTGTGTGTGTGTGTGTGTGTGTGTGTGTGTGTGCGCCCCCCCCTCCCCTCACTCCCCACCCATGCACCTGTCTGAAAACCTGTGAGGCTCCTGCAGCTTCACGTTGTGCGAGCAAAAGGTGAGTGTTCAACACACACACACACACACACACACACAAAGAGAGTGCCATTTGCACATTGGAGTGCAAACACAGCACAGATGTTCACACACACACACACACACACATGCAGCCGCTCCACCTGAACATGTTTCTGTAACCAGATTGTTCCTGTAACTGACGACGGCTTCATTCGGTACGAGTTGAATTTCCACAGACGTCGGTTCAAATTTTGAGAAAAATAAATTCAAACTTTGATTTGTTGTTTGAAGGATGACTTCAACTCTTTGGTGTTTTCTAGCATTGACACTGAGCATTTCATTAAAAAAAAACAAAAACTAATTTGACAAGCGGTTTAATTTGACACTAAACTTTTCAATCATGCGTTCGAAGAAACAAAAATCAGACAACAACGAGCAGCGATTGTAAGAACTGTATGAAAACTAAGAATATAGAAATAGTCAAATGGTTAAAAAAAAAAAAAAAACAAGCAACACTGAGCATTAAAAACAATATTTACTTGCGTCTGTGCCAACTTTACTTGTATTTAGCGCGTGCGTCTTCCAAACACACACAGAGACAGGGACAGACAGCGTACACACACACACACACACACACACTTTTACTCACAGTTTTCAGTCTGGTAATCTGGAACAAACTGCTCGTCATTGTCAGGAACCTGAGCTGAAAATAGAAGCAGACAAAATAGACGTTGGACAAACACGGCACTGATTTCAGTTCTCTACAGTCAAGCACTCAGAAAGCACAGGCTGCTGCTTTTACAACTTGTACTTCTGCTCCTCGTTTCCACAGAGCGTGCGTGTGTGTGTGGGGTTTTTGTTGGTCTGTTTTTTGTAGATTTGCTGTATTTGCTGTAACTACTCGCCTTCCTTTAGGGTTATTTATCGTACATCAGATGACTTTTTCCTGTCTGAGGGCTGTTATTTACTTTACTTTCGAGATGTCGGTGGCTAACCCTTTTAGCTATTCTTGCTACATTTGTTGCTTCATTTTCCCATTTCGTCTTGTTTTTAACTACACTTGCTTTCGTTGCTGGTTCGCCATCTCTGACTGGCGTTTATAGTGTTTCCCCCTTCATCCTCCTCCTCCTCCTCCTCCTCCTCACCTCAAGCCAAAGTCCCACTGTAACTGTATCAAATCATCTTCTTCCCCACTGCTGAATCCACCTGCACCTGCAGAGTCTGGTCTGTTCCAGGACCACTGCTTCACCTGAGCGTCTTGCACTAATGCTAAATTAATGAAGCCCACATCACACCGTGTCTGTCTCTGTCTCTGTCTCTGTCCTCCCCAGGTCTGGATTGTCAAATAAAGACGTGAACAGGTTGGTTTGGTATTAACGCCCGTCTCGGAGACTGCATCTCGGTGTGTGTGTCTCTCCAGTTTGACACTCTTAGGCGAAAGGCAAAAGGAGATTTAAACGTGTCATTATCAAGTCTATTTATACCCACGCAGAGGCGGAGCCTCATTATCACGTTGATCTGTAACTTGTCTCATCATGTCGACAGAAGAAAAAGAAGAATCACAGATTTTTTCCTCTCTCTCCGTTTTTGTCCCTCTTGATAAAAATCACTGTTTTTTCTCTCTCTCTCGCTCTCTCTCTCTTTCTTTTCCTTCAAATGTGTGAATTGAGGAGAGTCAACAATCAACAGATGAAGACGCGGCCACGGCTGAGGGCAGATATTTAAGCAGTTAACAGTCAGCGTGGGTTTGAGTGATATTTTCAACTGGGTTAAAAGACTTTTTCAATACAGTCAAAATCCTAATTTTGAATTAGAAAACATATTAGTTGAAAATTTGCAAATATTTTCATTTTTTTATAGATTTTTGGAAATGATTGTAGTTAAAACAATTTATTAAATACTTGATAAAGATAATCTATTATTATGTGTTATGTAGATTTCATAAATATTTAATGACTATTTTTGTGAAAAACATTATTTTCCCCAGTTTGTGATTAGAAATATATTTTTAACAGTCATGAAAAATTCTTCATGTTTTTTACATATTTCTCTTACAGTAGAGACTTTTTTTTTTTTTTTTCGTTTCACTGGTGACTTAGACTAGCACCCAAAACCCTAGAGAATGACTTAAACCATATAGACTTTGCTCAGAATTTGACCGAGCTCCAAATTGACTTTCTTCTCATTCGTGACTCCATACTGACTTGCTGTGCTGCAGTATTTGTCATTAAATTCTGGAATCGTTTGTGATTCGCACTCGAAACTGGACGTGGATTTCATTCAAACTATTCTTTCTGTTATTTTCTCCTGACTCTCGCTGCACAAACGTCTTAACTGCTGTAACCCAGTGGTGAAATTAAACAGAAGAAAAAGCCACTGTAATAGAGAACTCCTATCAAACACCTGTGGTGATCTGTTCTTACTTCAGTCTTTTACTCAGTTCTGTTTCAGATTTACTTCTCTCCACCCGTTTTGTTTGGTTAGTTTAACAGCACTTTAATCCTGACTTCCACACCTTCTTCCCTCCAAACACCCCTCACTCCTAAACGTCAGGGTTGGTAGGTTTTAACTGTTGTGAAGAGGAGCTTCTTATTAAACAAGTGAACGACCTGTGATTATATTCAAACATTTTCATTCTGTTAAAGGTTCATGTTAACAGGCGTTGACTGGTTAGGATTTTTTTTTTTCCCTTTTTCTTCCAATTACCTGAAGTCATAAATCTCAAAGATGGAGAAAAGTTTCTCCGTTTCATCCTAATGGACAGGAAGTCGTTCAATACTAATCTGGAAGATTCTTCATCATCACGTAGATCTGTGACAGGTAGAACTGTCATCTCTAACAGTTGGGTCTCCTCTAAGACAAAGACATGGAGAACTGTATTCCCTCACTTCCTTCAGACATTAAAATATTTAAAAATCTCTTCTTCTTCGTCCTCAGCAGGTTTATACGTTTTTAACAACAATGGCCATGACATATAAAAAACAAGTTCATTTATTCACATTATGTGCACTTTAGATAAAACTTTAAAACTGAAGCGCATTTTAGGTATATTATTTGTTTTAAACAGTTTTACGTGTTTAACGTCTAATTTTCACACTCAACTTTAATTTGTTATTTTGTTTATGATATGCAACATCACAAATTGACAGTTGTTGTCTGTGTTGCACTGAAAGTAAAACAAGTGGAACCACATTAGACAATACTATTCACAATATCATCTAAATTAATTTAGCTTTACTCAATAATTATTTAAAATGTATCTTCACAAAAAGCATTTCTCAATAATTGCATTTCAAATGACTTGTTTTCAGCTGAAGTTTACTTCAAAAACTGAAAAATCAATCAGGAAAAAAAAGATATAAAAATCAATCTTTAGTTCTTTTACCTATAATCATTTTTTAAGCTCAGCTAAAATGTTCTTATGGCTTTAACATTTTATATAAATAAAACATGTTTTGCGAATTGCAGCTGAAAAACTCTTCCTAATATTTAAATGTAGTTTGATGCTGTGAATATTTTGCAGTTTCAAGTTCAAGAGAGTGTCAGGATAAGGAAGTAAAAACTAATCGCAAATCTACACTGACGGTGGAATCGGAGAGAGGACTTGGAAAAAAATCTGTGTTCTTTTTTACGTTTGACACGAGTCCCAGGCTAACTGAACTAAAGTAAAACCTGGATTATCATTTGATTCACTTCAAATGATAAATATCAATTGGAAGGTAAAGTCACAAAAGGACTAAAAAAAAGATCTTAAATTTAAATTCTTTCTAATTCATTTTGAACATTCCATAAGCAATATATATATATATATGTGTATATATGTTGCCCAAAAATAAGTAGAGTAATTCAATTTACTTTTCAAATAGGTTTGCTTATTTCAAATTTAAAAAAAAAAATTTTTTTTATTAATTCCAGGTCTAAATATAAACCAGATAATATTTTTTATTCATAATCCTCATGTTTTTCGAATAATAAAAATAACTCTGCAATAGAGTTTGGTTAGAGTCGCCGCCAGCCGTAAACGCAATTATCAAAGAGCTATTTGAAAATATCAAAACATTATTTTTTCTTTGACACATTCGAACATCAACACAACTTTAACTCTATGCTAAACTCTATTTAGTAACTTTATGACTAAATCCACGGTAAGAGATGGGCAAAGCTCTAAAATCTCAACTGAAGCAACAGCAACTGCAAAAGTCACGTCATGAAGGAAAGTCTGTCAAAACACATGCTTATAAATAAATATTAAACAAAATTCACCACCAACCAAAAGTTCTGTGCTGCAGACAGGAAGGAAAGAGGACGCTCGCACTTAAATCCTGAAGCATCACGTCTTAGTGGGAGCACGGAAGGAAAGTCTTTCCATCAGAGGAGGTGAAGGTTTAATTAAAAAAAAAAAGTAAGATAAACTAAATTTAAAAAATTTCCATCAGAGGAGGTGAAGGTTTAATTTAAAAAAAAAAAAGTAAAATAAACTAAATTTAAAAAATAAAAGAAAGGGGGGGAAAAAACTACCTATTTCAATTAGACGTCACTTAAAGAAGTCACGTTTACTTTTTATCAAAGTAAGAAAAAAGTGTAAATCCATCTCTTCTTTTTCTGCCGGGAAATGAAAGTGAGAAGGTGAAGTGGTGAAGGTGTAAGTTGAAAACAGAGAGAGGGCAAGAGAGAGAGAGAGAGAAAAAGAGAGAGAGAGAGAAAAAGAGAGAGAGAGAGAGAGAGAAAAAGAGAGAGAGAGAGAAAGAGAGCGAGAGAGAGAGAGAGATTAGAGCAGAGTGACAGTAGCGGTGGTGGCAGCTGGAGCAGCAGCAGCGTTAGCTCCTGCCAGAAGCAGAGGAGACAGTGATGGTGGCTGAGGCTTGTCCTGGTAATTTGTGATGACACTCTCAGGGTAGAGCCTGCTCTGCTCCTCCAGCACCTCCCTCCTGACTCCCCCCCCTTCACTCTCCTCCTTCACTTGCTCTAATGTATGCACAAGACGCGAGGTGCTTCTTCCATGGGCGTTTAATTGGTCCGTGACGCTGAAATACGCAGCTTCCACTTTTTTTTTTAATACTCCTTACAGTAAAACTAGAATTAACCCAACATCTCAAAAACCTCAACTGTAAGAAATACATTTATTTTTCCCTAATACCCTCATTAATTAGTTAATAATTATGCAGGTGATGTTCTTTTTTTTTTCTCTTGTCCACGTAAAATACATGACTAAACCTGAACCGCAATGCTTTTCAGTCAAATATTTTACAAACTCAACATCCAGTTGTTTTTTGTTGTATTTATTAGTGTTGCAAAAACTATAATAGTGTCAGAATTATGACTAAAGCTTAGTGCAGCATTTTTAAACTGCCAAAAAAAAAACAACAACTCTATTTTGGTTTCGTTTGGTCAACTTATTCTATACGCAGATGACTGTCTTGTTTATTTGATAGAATTTATTGTTGTATATTTTCAATAATTTTAACATATTCTTCACCAAACCATTTGTTTGTATTGTCAATTATTAGATTATCCGTTACTGCAATGGTATCATCAAACACGCTTCCACCATTCATCCGTCCATCCATCCATCCGTCCATCCATCCATCCATCCATCCATCTTTTATCACCTACTTATTCATCTTCTACAGCTCTGTCATATTCAACCATGTCTGCAAGTCTTTGTTTCTTTTACACAACTCACCTTCTGCCAACCATGTTTCCTGCAGCTGACTAAGGTCGTGGAAAAGTTCTGGAGACAAGGAAGATCCAAAGCAAAGAAGAGAAAGAAGATTAAAGTCAGAGTAAAGAAATACACATCAGAGTATTTAAAAATACATCAAAGACTTAAAGGGACATATTTATTATCATTAGTATTTTTGGTGTGAGCATAAAGAGAAATGAACAGAAGGTGGCAGTAATGCAGTGAATGCCAATGGCAGTTAAACCCCCCACAAAAACTTAGCTTAGATAAATATTTAGATGGAAGAAAGTGGACAAAAAAAGTAATGGAACAACTTGTTGTGAATAAAAATGGGTCGTTAAGAAATGTTTGTTGATTCTAAATACGTACTCTTTCTGTAACAGAATGAAGAAAACATTTAATTTCCTACCATTATTTTTGTTTAATTTTTAGTATCCTTACACATATCTTTTTATATTGTCACTGAAATATGCAGGTTTAGTAGTTTAGTGATAGATATTTCAGTGAGTCTTATTTTACATCAGGTATTATTATTGTTAATAAAAAAGTATAACATTGTGATTTAAAATGACCATTTAAATGTATTTCTTTTGTTTTCTACTTGACACTAATTGTGATCACTGTTAATAAAGAATCAATTTCCGACCTTTGACATATGCCAAACCACACCGTTGTACCTGGGCTTCCACGGTTAACGTTGCAGCTTTCGCCTCATGAAATAATTGAATTTTGTTAAATGTTTAGGAGCCGTGAAATTAACTCCTGCAGGTCTGTACTGGTGCGTTTACCTCTGGTGTCCTGAGCCAGGTCTGAATTAATGACTTTTCTTTTTCTGTCTTTCACTGGTCTCTGGGTGATGGGAGTCTTTGTCTGCTGGTTCTGAGCAGAAAGAAGAGGAAAAAAGAAACAAATGTTTTGTTTAGGTTGATTTTAACTAAAGACATTTCAATTAAAGTTACGTTAACATAGTTGTTATGTTACAACAACACTATTTAGGAAATAAGTAGATACTGTGTACCAACCAGAAGAAGAAATGTGGAAAAGAAAACTGAGAACAGATGTTGAATATTCGATTTTTTTAGTGTAAATTCAGATGAGATTAAAACATTACCAAAGAAATTATTCATTTAAAACTTTATAAGTGTCTCGTGTGAGGATTTTATTTCTGACTCCAACTCTCCTCCTCTCCTGCCTCTCCAATAATCAATAATCACTCACTGTCGAAACGTCGAAGTGAGGAACTCGCTGGTCTTGAAATTCCTCCATTTCTACTTTGTTTTCACTCTGTGGACAGAAAACACAAGGACGAGTTAATTTCAGTGAATTATACATTTCTTCCTTGGAGTTTAGCTCAGAAAAAGCATCACTGAGTCCAGAGAGTTATGTGACACCGGAAGATCCATGTTTGGCGTCATTATGTCCAGGTGAGCGACCGCAAAGTCCGTCCGTAAAAGCCGAAGCTCGACGGACTAAGAACAGAGCACTATTTGGTGTTTACTTTTAATACATACTTTACAGGGTAAAAACTAAATATTTTAATTATTTCTTCTCCAGCGACTTCCCTACCTACCATGTTCAAGACTCAATGTGCGCGGCTGCTGGAGCTCCCCTCTGTCCTCGCGGCTGTGCGTCTCTCCCAGCACTGAACATCTTCCCTCCGCCTCCGCGCCTCCCGGGGCCTCCCATGAAAACAAACCGCACTCCCTGCGCTTCCTATTGGCTGCCAAATGGCAACGGTCTCTACTACAATCAACACTCTCGAAGAATCTACCACCGGTGTGCCTAATGGAGGCTTGGTTGAAGCGGAAGAGGAAATGCTCTGAAATGTAAATTTTAAAAACAATAACGGACAATGTTACTATTAAATACATTTTATAAAATGTTATTAAAAAGTGGCCATATTGTTTTAAAGTTAGTTACAGGTGGGCCAGCCTATTTCAAATGACAACTAAAATGGTTGCCATTTAGAGGTAAAAGGACAGAAACAAGCTGTTCAGAACAGGACTGTTAAAGAGTTGTGTAAAGAATATCACTGCGTTCATTCATGTTTTAAAAATGTTTTGTTTGTTTTTCTTTTTAAGAAACCAATTTTTTTTTTGTTTTTCTTTTTAAGAAACCAATTTTTTCCCCCATAAAGCTGGGTCCCTTTACAGTTTTCAATGAGGAAAACTCCATTCAGAAGGACCACCATCTGTCAATGTGATAAAAATATTGTACTGTGAGCTTTAAACATGGTTTAAAATGTAAATTGAAACTTAAAGAATCCAGAAATATTAATATTAAAGATTAAAAAAACAAACAAACAGGAAACAAAAACCCAAAGGTTGTTTTTTTAAGCTTGATTTCAAGCTGTGTTTTAAACTCCAGAGAGTGAACTTTACACCAGTTTGAAAACACAGACTGACAGATGGACGAATCAGAGGAACGTAGTGGTCACACTGTTGTCGTCTCAGATCTTCACACAGGTTGTGAAGAGTGGATGTGAAGTGAGGTTTGGTGTCCAACCTGATAAACCTCCAGAGGACAGAGAAGAACACAGGTCAAGTGCAGGTGTTCCCTCGGTCAGTCAGACGGTCCGACACAGTCAACAGAGTGTCTGTACACATGAGGTTTCCTTCTTGGTGAACATGAAGATGCAGCTCTAGCCTCAAAGACTGTGGAGAACAAGAGAAACATGAACAAATTCAAAGTTCTGGATGTAGTTTTGATTTGACCATAAAGACTGATGATGTGGTAAAAGTTAATATCAATATGAGTGCTATATGCTGTATTACCATTAATAAAATGGAGAAATATTTTTAATGTGGTAATCACATCATAGATAGATAAATGGATAGATGGATACAGTAGATAGATGGATGGGCAGACAGATAGATAGATGGATGGAGAGATGGCTAGATAGATGGATGGATAGATGGATAGATAGATAGATAAATGGATAGATGGATACAGTAGATAGATGGATGGATGGACAGACAGATAGATAGGTGGATGGATGATGGATAAGTAGGTAGGTAGATGGATATCGATAGATCGATAGTTGGATAGATATCGATAGATAGATAGTTGGATAGATAGATTTTTGTAGTTGACCTTTTGAACATACCATTGTTCAGATGTTCAAAACATGAACATACTCCCCTTACTAGACCAGTGGCTTTGTATCTAGCCTTCTAAGTCTATTGGATTTATATATTATACAAATTTTCTGAGATAATTTGTTAGTTGTTTTTTTTTTATACATTTACTGATATTGGAATTTGGAACCTGTGCATCCATTGCAGCAACTGCATGTATTTCCATCATTGACCAATGGGACAATTCAAAGTTATGACACAAAATAGTGCAAAAAAACATGGCCACCACCAAGAACTATACATGTTTTGTTCGTTTAAATTAGTGCCAAGAACTATTTGATTTTTCCCTAAAAACAATGTACAGCATCAAGTCTCTGTTAGTGAGGTGGGAAATTGAACCAGTCAACAAGATTAGTTGGAATCAACACAAACAAAATTGTTTTATTCTGTCAAATGCCACAGTTTTCATTCAGCGTCATCCGGTGGAAATGTTTTGTCTTTTGTCTTTTGTCTTCCAGCAGAACAACAAAATGCACCTTCTGAGAACAAAGCCATGACTGAAAGAAATTACTGTGTACAAAAATACAACTTCACTGTACAAAAGTCTGCATGGACGAAGCAAAAACAGAAGAGGACAACAGGACCAATCAGTCTCCATCGGCATGTGGCACTTTTTTTTTTTTGTTTTTTGAAAGACAGGAAACAGTCAAGTGTAAAAACATTCTCCTAATACATGCGATGTTTAAACTGAGCAGTCTGCAGCGCCTCAATAAAACACAGGCTTTCCCTCTCTGAAGTTTTAACATAAGAAATAATATAACATCTATAAAAAAACAATACGTTTACAGTGTCGGCTTACATTCTTTTCATTCACATTATTTTTAATTTTTTTTTAATTTTGTTTTGGCTGTCATTTCTTTTATTTCACCATATGCAGTATTCATACATGAGTCAGTGGTTGGTCTGTACTGAGTCAGTCAGTGGGCAATGTGCCCTTGTTTGTGCAGCCGACTATAAACGCATCACCGTGGCGGACGATCGGCACGAAAATCAATAATCGCAGGAGTGTCCAAAAATATCCACGTCAAAACTCACGGTACCGATCGAACAAAAAAGAAAAAAAAAACCTGAGTAACAATTAAATGACGGATAAATAATTAAGCAGGCAACTTGTGGATAAAAAGTGATATGGTTAAACCGAGCGGCTCACATCACGCTCGGGTCACTGATGTTACAGAAAGTCCGTACACTATTGGTTAAAACCTGACAGGAAAACTTTCGTGCAACTAAAAAGAGAAAAACTCTCTAAAAGTATCATGCATTTCTAATGAGTGTTAAATATATTTTTTTCACTTTAAACAGACAAAGGCCACTGTTAGATTTGCGGAAAAGCTGAATCTGATGAAAAACTAAATTGGATTGTGAAAAGTAAAGATACTCTACCTTAACCCTACCAGGAGAATTTTAGGGTATTTTTCTAAATCTTAGAATTCTACTTTTTTTGAAAGTGAGATGAGTCCAAAAAAAGTTGACGGTCAACAAAAAGACTTGATTAAAACCTTAACCATCCTAAAACAGACAAACAATCTGATTACCTAAAACTTTTAGAAGCAGCGTAGCGAGTTTATAAAAATAAAAATCCTACAAAAACATTAGCATCTGAAGCTAATCCAAACAGAAGAAGAAGAAACAACTTTACAGCTTAAAAAAAAAAGTTAAATACACAGGATGGAAAAGTATTGAGATACAACTTTTTTATGTGTGATATTGCAACTAAAAGACACAGATATCAATCCGAGACCTTATTTTAGCCTCTGGCATATCAAAGAGGCAATATTGTATCAGATTTGAGCGTAGGTATCGGATTGGATTGGCTATAGATGTTATTTTTATGTGTGATCCTGAAATTTTGACCGCTATCGGACCAATACAGATCCTGAGTATCGGATCGAGAAAGTCTATTATAATCACAGCTAGATTAGTGGAGCAGGCATTAAGGTGGGAACAACGTAATCAGATAGGGTTGAAAAAGTTTTGCTCATGGGAATTGAACATGGACTGGAGGTCGTCATCCTGGATCAAAAGCTTACAGTGGCCTTAGAACATCTGCAGAGAACTGAACTTGACGAAAACATCCTACAAAAACACTCTTCAAAGACTGGTTGCAAACTGGATATATGACCTGCGACAACGTGATGCGTTTGCTGTCCCATCATGCGTCAGGAGATACTTGAAAAGCGCCACCAACAGCAGCGAATTCAATAGAAATAAATATGTTAGAAAAATATCACATTCATCTTTTGGACTGATTCCACGTGGCACGAATCACAAGAAAAATAAATACAGGCCTTCTTTAACAAAACTTACAGGAACAGATCAAATGTACAACGTTATCATGAGAAGTCCCACCATCTGACTCAGGACTTCACTCCAGAACTGACGCTTCATGCTGCAGGCAACACAAACCTGAACCTACGGTACGATCTTGAACACTGAGCGACCAATCAGACGTCAAAATCCTCAGAGACTCCGCCAACTTCTACGACAATCGGACCAGATACGATTGACCCGAGGTCACCTCCACAACACCGCTCGTGCCATCTTGGAAAAGGCTCGGAGGGTCTTGGTGATGATCAGTCTTTGCTCTCAGCGTGAGTTCTTCTGATGATGGAGGAGAAACAGCTGCGGCTCTGAGGATGGCCAATCAGCATAGGGGCCTGGTTTTTGTGGACGATCTCGATCTAGTCAAAAGGAGGAGCGAAGAAGTTAGATCACGGTCAGTGAGGCTTAGGGTAATACCGCACCATCGTTGAAGATGAACCTCTTTTAGACTTTCTTCTGTTAGTATCAGAGTCTGAATTGTTTTGAAACATTGTCAGATTATCTTTGGATGAAAAAAGTAAAGGGATATGACTGGATTCTTTTGGAATGAAGTCAATTAGTAAAACTGAAGTACATTTTTTACTGTGTCCCACTGTGGCCTGGTAGCAAAAGACACAAATGTACCGGAACCGGTCCCCGAACCAGAAGTTGGGGACCCGAGCGTTATGCTAAATAACATGTCACATTATATTGAATGTATCATATCAGAGGGTCAGACCTGGGAAAAGCTCGGCAAACTCTCACCCACAACTTTTCTTCCACCTCATTCTGAATTAACATAAACTCTAATTCTGTTATAGAACTGTTTACATCTTTACCTTTTTTAAGCGTGGAAATTAATCAGACACAAAAAGCAATTCAAAAACGTAAAAATGTTTGTCTGATTAACACCCTACAAGAAAAAAGTCTTCCATTTTATTTGCAACAAATTATTTTATACCTCGTGCGTTTCTCTGCCTTATTTTTCACCTCAACCCATAACAACGTGAAGGTGTTAAGACTTCGACTCAGTAACGAGGCACTTCATTTAAATGTAGACGTCAATAATAGTGACGTAAGGCCTTGTTATCAAACACGGGCTCCTGTCACATATCACTCTAAGATGCAAATGAACGCCACGGTGTTAATATGCATGCAAAGCTAACTGAGATGCATTTGCATAGTTGTTGTTAATAATTAGTGCGATAACATCTCATTTCATCTGTCATCTTTTTAAAGGCATTTAACAGGTCGCCTGATTCAAATTCGGCAGCAGATTTCACCACCAAAACATCGTAGAATTTTATGGAATTCTGAAGGATTTTCTCGATAAAAAACTGTTGCATTGCCGAGTTCTGAGGCCACTTGTAGGCTTCTTATTTTGTCATGCCGTGTGTGTTTTTTTTTTTTTTTGCGGGTCTGTATGTAAATCTCCCCACTCAGCCCTTCGTGTGGAGCGATGGTTGTAATTAAAGCTAAACACGACGGTAATCAACACAACGTAAGGAGTTTGATTGTGGAAAAAAAAAAGGGGGATCTTGAAAGACAAGCAAACACTTGTGGAGGTTAGGGTTTCGTAAAGGCAGGCAGTAGAACCAATGAAAGGACGTGAGGCTGTGTTAGGGGTTACACTGGTGCTAACTTCTTACTTTGTAAAGTATAAATCATCGACTCGTCGAAGCGTAAAACAGCAATGATTAATTGGATTTACTGTATATGATAAATGGTTTTTTAACGTTTTAACAGCAAAAGCAAATTAGTAGCAAATTTAAGATGAACCGTCGACATTAGCTGACATTAGCACTGAACAAGTTGTGTAAAAAGAGGTCAAGTTTTTTACTAAAATGGATTAAACCAAGGCTTGTGTTGCCAAAAATAAAATGCAAAAAATAGTTATAGTAATGCCATTAGTTGCATTCCAACTATGGTCGGGGCGCTGAAGCAGGAACAAGCTAACGTGTAACCAGCCACGTTAAGAACAAGCTAACGTGTAACCAGCCACGTCAAAGTCACTGTTCGGAAAAAAAGCATTTATTAAATGAATATCCCATGTTACAACGTGAGAACCTGCGGCTTAAAGAGAAGTGCGGCCTATATATGTACAATTATTTTTTTCTTTTTAAATTTAGTGGGTGCGGCTTCTATTCAGGTGCGCTCAATAGTCCGGAAATTCGACAGCTAAATTTGAAAGGCTCACAGACTTCAAAATTCCAGTAGAGCAAGCTCACTGTTAGGGAAGTGAAGATGATGTAAAAGGTACAGTAAGTAAACAATAGAGCTATGTTTAGCTAACGTAAGCTAAACATATACTTACAATCAAATGTTAGCGCAACTTGAAAAACAAGTAGCCAAAAGCTAGTCATGAAACCCTGAAATGTGGTCACGAGTCATGAACCAGTCGGACAAGTTGGGTCAATAAGCCGGTAGCTAGGAAAATAAATGAGGTAACTAGGCTAACTGTCTAGGCAACATAAACATTAGTTCAAATTCAGACAAACACTAAGAAAAAAGTAAGACAGTTACAGAAAAATTGCAAAAGATATAGCTGTGTATGAAAAAAAACAACACATGAAGATGTGATCTTTCTTACAGTGCAGGGAGTCTGCATCCAAGGTTCTCCATCAATCTGCATGGGCAGTGACTTGGTGGTTCTGTAGGAAACAAACGGAACAGTATGACAGTATGGTCAGGACCTGGTGATTGATTCTGTCCTGGTGAAAATTCAATCATGAGTAAATGACACATCTTTATTATCAGAGGTGTTAAACTGTTGATTGGTGTTCAGTGATTGGACAATTAGAGACACAATTGTGCTGTCACTACTAAGGTAGTAGCTAACAGGGCATTCACATAATTCCATTCTACATTTATGTTTAAATTAAAATTGCAGTCCAAAGAACTAGTAACGTAAAGTACAGGAAGTACCTTGAGATACGAGCGTCCCGACATATAAGTATTCCGAGATACGAGCTGGCCCTCCAGCTAATTTTTGCTTTAAGATACGAGTAAAGATTTGAGATACGAGCACGCTTACAGACGCCGACGCTAGGTGGCCGAGCACTCGTTCACTTCCTGTGTTCGTCAACTTCCGTACGCATTTCCAGTGAGTATTGTGTTTGCGTTATCTACGTGATTTTCTCTCTATAGAAAAGTGAAATGTAAAGAACACAAATCGAAAATAGCAACAAAAAAAAAAAGTTAAGCTAATTCTAAGTTTATGTAAGTACATGCAAGGTATGGTATGGAATCAAGTGTCTATGTACGGGCTAACTCTCTTCCTCCCTCCTCCTACATCAGCCTCTACTGTATCGTCTGTCTCGAAGGTTCGAACTCATAATTAAGTCCATTAGCTGCTACTGTATCGTCTGTCGGTTCGAACTTATAATTAAGACCACATTTTTTTATTTGATATCACAGGAATCCTTATATACTATAGTTTAGTGGAATCCTTATATACTATAATTTGTGTGTCTCTATATCCATTGTTTCCATTGTTACTAGCACTAATAATGGAGTTTTTTTAGAGGGCCGGAACGGATTAATTTTTTTTCCTGTCATTTCTTATGGGATAAAATGATTCGAGATACGAACACCTCGAGTTACGAGCTCGGTCCTGGAACGGATTATGCTGGTATCTCAAGGTATTACTGTATGTCTATAAGTACTCCAAACAGACCTATAGGAGGCCTTGGAGCCTCCTACTAATACATCTTTACAGTGACTCTCAGACCTGATGGTCACAGATGAGCACTGAGCCAAACGTCTTCCGGCACTCTTCAGTCCCGTGTAGATCTGACCCATCTCCATGGCTCCTTCTAGTCCCACCACCTCCAGGAGCTGGTCTGAAACATCTTAAAGTAACACAGGGAAAACAAGGTTTCATTTACGTGGAATGGAAACCTTGGTGCAGTACTGGTGGTCAATAGACACAAATCATCAGGTACGTGTTCCAAAAGCATATCACGAGAACCTGGATTCAAACAGTACTAGTGACTATCTGTGTCCCAGTCACAGGAACGAGTACCAGAAACAAGGAAATATACCAGTACTCTCCCCCAAGAAGTCCAAAAACTCGAGATAATGAGAGAGTACAGCCAACACAGTAATTTGGGATCTAACAGTAGCAGAATTTTTTTTTCTTCCAGTTTTCAGAGTTCAAGGAACAAAGGCTGTTTTTGGTGCCTTAAAGTCTCTACATCATTAGTAAGACTAATGCATGTAAAGTTCAACAGCAGAAATCTTCCAGATTGGCCAGAGAACTCGAATCACTCTTTTGAAATCTACAGCTGCCCCCTAGAGGAGGGAATAAACATTGTTTTTTCTGTGACAGCATACAATTAAAAACTAAGAGAGAAATAAATAAAGGAGCAACAAGAAAATCAAGCCCCGCAAAGTAAACAGTTATTAATTAAATCGCAACCGGCAATGAAAGGCAATCTTGTGATAATATAATTATGAATTTCTCGGCTGTTTTTGCAGTCATAAGCATTGATTTTGGCCCTGCTGGAGGCCCTCGTGTCCTGCGGGGCCCCATCTGTTTCTGCCTCCGAGTCAGCATCGACTCGTCCCTCCGCGAATTAAGGCGCAGCCGTCCTGCTGTCACCGACGCAAAGACACTAATTGAAAGTTAGGAGTTTTTTTTAAGGCCTGTGTATCTGTGCGCCTCGTCTCCGCACGTGTTTATCTACAGACCAGTTTGTTTCCTGGAGGAAGTGTTTAAGATAATGTCAGATTATTAATCAACAACAGGGTTGGAAAAATAAATCTTGTTAGAGAGAGGCTAACACGTCTGCTCTGTTTACAAAACTTTTGATAATAAAGGGAGATTGTTGATTTTTTTAATGCTGTTTGAGAACCTTTATATTATCGTAAATTTGAATTTAGGACTTATTTTCATTCCAGGGTAATTTCTGGGTTGTATATATATATATTACTCCGGAGCCCAGGAGAGATCAAAGGAATTAGCAATTAGCAAAATCCTGCTCTTATTTTACTAGATTTCGCACTCGTTTAAATAGAGCACATGCTCATTTTCTTAGGTTGTGCACCAGTTTTCCTAAATCGTTGGCTAGCTTTACACAACCGCGTGCTCACTTTGTTAAACTGTGCCGTTGCTTATCTAAAACCCTAACCTAAAGCGTCACACGGCTAGGTGAAAATGTGAGCACGAATTGTATAAAACCTGCACTGATTTTGAATGAATCGAACACTCGATTTAAATAAGCGTGAAGCCGCATGTAAGTCATTCTTGCTCAGAATTTTGAATGACATCGTACTCGTTAATTTCCAGTTACTTTACCACGATTTATCGATAGTTGCCGATGTTATATACAGCAGCGCAAAAATACAAAAAAAAATAAAAAAATAAATAAATTGAGTTTTCCAGGGCTCTGTATATCACAGTATGATTGGATTTGGATTGGATATTTTTTGTATTTTGTATTAAAAATATGTATAATTCATTTGTGAAATTAATAAAATAATATGTGGATTTGGATTGGATATTTTTTGTATTGTATTAAAAATGTTGATGATTAATTTTTACAAATGAATTATACTCTTATTAGAGAACATTTTTAGATTTTTATTTTGATAAAATTTTCTGTCAGAATGTATACTTTTTGTGTCATTTTTGGTCAAACACTAAAATTTTCTGTCAGAATGTGAACTTTTCAGGTCATTTTTGGTCAAAAACAAAAAAAAGATGAATATTTTTGTAAAATTATTTTAAAAAAAAAAATCTTTTCCTGCATGTTTCTCATAAAATTAGGGCATTTAGAGAACATTTTTAGAATTTTTTTATAAATATATAAATAAGTATAATTTTGATATAGCTTATCTAATTTTATAGCATTTTCCTACTCTCTACATACCTTTTAGCTACTATTGCGTCATACATACAGTAAGTTCAATATTGTTTCCGCAAACATTTGTCTTTTGGCAGGTTTTAGGTGTTGGCACACTTAGCTCAACCAGTTTTGGACGGTTAAAACCTCACATCAACTGTTGTTGTCATTTTACTTTAGCCTAAGAACTGGAAAAACAGGTCACGCAATGTCCTGTTTTGCAGAAAACCTGAGACTATTTGTGCGATGATGGAAAATTATTACCGTCAACCTAAAGCCGGGAGGTAATCACAACCATTATCAGTATTCTATCATTCATTTTCTTCAAAAATTAAAATGAAAAAGAAAATACTGGACTTGTTCAGCGAATGTAAGGTCTCATCACGTCTACCTGGTTGCTGAATTTCCATTTTTGTTTTGAATGAAGCATTATTTGTCATATTAGAGGAGCAAATGAAGTAGCCGCAGAATCAATATTAAAACCAGAAATAGACCAGACAAATCAAAAAAAAAAAAAAAAATCACATCCATCGTGACGACTGTTCTGTGATTAACTGGAGGGAAGAAGAAAAAACAAAACAAAAACATGCATCACCAAGTTGGTTGAAGTTGAATTATTAATACAAAATAAACAGCTGGTGGCCAAATTAGAACAGACGCTGCAGTAAAACTGAAATGATTGTCAAATGATGTGATTCAGGTGAAGGATGAAAGCAACACATGGACATAAAACACATTGACAAAAACATCCCCAGGACCTTAAAGATAAACTACGTTCAGATTTGAGTCACTTTATAAAAGGCTCACCTTATGGCATCTATAAATACTAAGATTTGTTTGTTGTCTTTTTATACCTGAAATTATTAGAAGAAAAAAAAAACTGAGCAAATCCAAAGTCAATAGAGAATCAAGGAAAACATGAATGTCCTACGTCCAATAAAATTATTATTGAGTAAATATTGTGTTAACTGACACAAGATCCACTTCCTGTCTGTACCGTTCTTATCTGGAAGAACAAAATCCAGCAGAAGGATCTTCAAAATAAGCACTGATCATCACTCACGACTTTTCATTTTCATGCCCAAGGTGTGATGTTAGAAAACGTACATGTGTATATATCACAAGGCCAGAAGCTGAAGTGACACATGTCTAGTAACAGAATGGAAGAGAAGGGACAACGAGAAGAAAAGCTGTAAGAAAAAAGTGTTAAAAGTGATAGGAAGGGGGTGTGGGTGTAGGGACACATGAGGACGAGCTAATGAAATGGACCAGCTAGGCTTCTGTAGCAGACAACTGTAAACTACATTTGTCAAAAATAAATTTAAAATATATATATATATATATTTATAATACATATATATATTAAAATATATATTTTTTAAAATATATATAAAAATATATATATTTTAAATATAAATAAATATATATACTTGACTACTTATAACTTTAGAATATTATTAAAAAATAATTTAATGAATATTTTAACAATTTATTCCAAACAGATACATTTGCCCATATATATGCTGCAGTAACTGAAAAAAAAAAACACGAAACACTCTGTTATAGCATAAACAACAAAACTAGTTAAACCCAGCCCCTCAAAAAGAGCTGTGTGGGGCATCAGCCCACCCTCCCACCCCCGCCCCAGTCCCTAAAACCTCAGTCCTGTTCTAAATTATTCAGCCCACAGTGGTTCTCTTCCAGCTGAGGGGTTTGTCTCCTGGAGTCACCAGCAGGACAATTTAACAGCTCCAGAAAGGTCAGGACACTTTTTTTTTTTTAAATGTCCCAGTACCGTCTCCACACACAAACACACACACACACACACACCCTGCCAACAGCTTTATCCGTGCCTCGTGTTTTTTCACGCTGCATTCTCCAGACAAATGCACTCCCGTGTTTACCTTTAAATACACTATTGTCTCACTCTGACAACTCACCTTGAGGACAATTCAACAGCAACAATGCACGCACACACACACCAACAATCATACACACTCCATTACACTCAATAAAGACACAGGCGGAACGGACACAAACATACAGAGAGCCGGCAACAAAAACAAACACTAAGTGCCCCGGACCGATTGATTTTTTTTTATTCAGGCATTAAAAGAAGTGGTCCAGGTCGAACTGTACGAAATACTCAGGGCTAACTGAGCGCCACACAGCCACAGCCCTCGTGTGTTAACCTGCCGTAACACACGGTTTCTGTGACAACAAGGTAAAATCTATTTTTTGACTGGTAGACGGGCGTTTTTTGACGGACACTTTTTATGGCTTGAATGTTACATAAAAAAATTATCATTAACAGCAAACGTGACAGGTAAAAATAACCGAGAGTAAATAAAAAATGGGAGCGATAGCTAGCAATTAGCCAAATGTCTTTCTATAAAAAGTAATATCATTATATATTAATTATATATAGAGTATATATATTTAATTAAAATATTTATATAACCTTCAGAGCTACCTTTAAGATTTTATTTTGCTTCCTTTGCTTATATATGTATATATGTACTGTATATATATACATATACACATATATGTATATATATACATATATATCATCATATATATAGATATACACACATATATAGATTTTTTTTGAATAAAATATATATATGTAGAAATATGTAATTATATTTTACTTTTTATAAAAAGAAATTTTTAATTCATATATATATTTATATATAGGTAGAGTTAGCTAAAACTTGAACGGGTTAATGTCTGATAATCGGTTATTAATCTCAGTGTGTTCTCACATGATGAGAATTTCTGAAACATAAGCCAATAGGCAGGTCCAAAATCTAAAATATATCTTTTATGGAGACAAATATATATATATATATTTTTTTTTTTTCTTCCATCAGTCATGTTGTGAACAGTGAAGTCTCATCAGGGAAACCAACAACTATGTCTTGAGAGCATAGCTGACTCCTCATGTTTCAATCCAGACATTGGTTCTGACATCAACCCCATCCCTGTGTACAAACACCCAACACTGCAGGAAGCAGAGAAACAGAGTGAAGCCTCACCTGAACAGGTCCAAGCTACAGTAGACATGATGGAAATACAAAAACCAAACCCCAAAAATATAACCCTGAAGCTTTGACCCAGTAGACTTTTCAACAAAACTACATAATGTGCACACAAGTTTTGCATAAAATGTTGGACAAAATTAGCATTGAGCATGTCAACTGTTTAGACCAGATGTGGGCAAACTAAGGCCCGGGGGCCGGATGCTGCCCGTTCAGATTTTTAATCCGGCCCGCCAAACCTTTCCAAATTATATAATTTATTTATATTATCATTGTACATCTGCTTTTTCTCTGCAATACTCACATTTCCACAATAGATGGCGTAGAAAATGGTGAAGCATTTTAGTCTTTATGCAGGACTTTTACATGTCATTTATCTTAGTTCACACCAACTCTCCATCTATCTGCTCCTGACCTGGTCCCCCCTGTTCAATGTTAGGACCAATTGTGGCCCACGAGTCAGAAAGTTTCCCCACGCCTGATTTAGACCTTTAGACTCTGAGACTAAATTGATACTTTTCATATTTATTTTGTACTTTGTGTATCAATTCTAATCCACCAGTGTAAGGAGTCTAGCTGTCCACGGTGCCCCCCCCCTCAGTCATAGATAACTGGGATGGGCTCCAGCGCCCCCAGCCTCCGTGAAAGTGAATAAGTGGTAGATAATGGACGGACGGATAATTTTACATTACTAATCATTAAATTAATTTAGATTTGTGATCCACCATTTCACCTCACTCTAAAAGAGACACTTGCTACTGGACAGAGACTGTTTATGCTGCTCCCTGATAAAAAGAGACAAAAAAAGAGACAAATGTTGGTGTTTGGAAAAAATAAAGGAAATCCAATTCATAAATGTGAACTTGCTGCTGTGAACAAACTGGATAAAATTAGTTAATGTCCTGGCAGTGGTAAAGAATTCTGGGTTTTAGTATTGTGCAAATATGTACAAAAAATACTTGTACTGCTACGCTTAATGTGTTGGTGATATAATATAATATACTCGCACATTCGTTCGTATAGTTTGTATAGTTATAAATGCGCCCAATGCACTGATTTTAATGCATTAAATTACTTTTGACTGTTGCCCAGCACATCTTGTGTTTTCCTGACATCTTGTGGAGAAATGCTCTCCTTGTAAAACTCTTCAGCATCAGAACATGCCCAACATACTGCTGTCCATATGCATATTCTCAGTTAGCCATATGTGCCTGCTGGTTTGAGCTAATTAGGGCTAAACACACAGAACAGCTGAGGCAGAGAGGCATTTTTAAATACATTTTAAAAAACGCGGAGAAGTCGCTTTAAACGTGTCGGACTAAATAATGCCCGACAGCCCCATGTAACATCACCGGCGACCACGACAAACACTTACAAAAATAAATACATAAATAAATAGACAACTGAATGTGGCTTAAGATAAGACTAAGACTAAGTTAACTAAATAATGACAGTTCTCCAAACCCTGAATAGAACATCCAAATACATCCAAACAGCACGTTTCCTCTTATGGTCTTCTTCTTTGGCATTAAAAGATTGAAGGTTGAGCCCAATCCCCCACATCCACCCACTCCTCGGCTCAGTCTGCTCAGATTAACTTAACCTATCCACTGCAGGCAGTGATGCAAATTGTCATTGCTAAAATATTGATGATAGAAAGAGGAAACAAAAAAGGTCAAGAAAAAAGGGTCCAACCTTTTACTGTGTCCTAAATGAGAAAAAGAACAGGACTCAGGACTCATCTGCACCAACTACTTACTGGTTAATGCACTACTGGTAATTAGAAGGGGTTCCTCGATCCGATACTCCGGATCGGTGTCGGTCTAATGTTGTCCCAATCTGGCCCAGTACCAAGTGACCGCTTCCCGGACCCCTGCCCTAGGATGTACCCTATGAAAGTAACCTAGTAATTAAAGGTAATTTCTGTAATTTTTTACAACAAAAGTTGACTAACATTTCATTACTAATCCATATAAAACAGTGGTGAGTAAAACTGACTTAAATTAGTTCACCTTGCAGGCTGGTGGTCCAAATCTAATTTTTGCACATATATGAGAATTTCCTTTATGGCAGTGACACTTTTTTTTATGGCAGAGTGAATGCCACAAATCCAGTTAGCCAGTGGAAAGGCCATGACGGTGAAATTCAGGAGGAGTCCAGGCCGTGGGCTAGAGCGGCGGTCAGTCTATTAACTCAGTGTTTCCCAAACTTTTGTTTCTGGCGGCCCATATTTTAAAAGTCACAAACCTTCGTGACCCAAGTCAATAGACATTATTTGTAAACCCCTGGGAAACAAGAGATTTGCGAGATGACCTTCCCAAAAAAAAAAAACAACTCTTGCGACCCACCTGAGGGTCGCGACCCAGTCTTTGGGAAACAATGTATTACACCTAGTTACTTTTACACCTAGTACTTTGTCCCTGGTGTAGTTCATGTGTGTATATTCGTTACCTTGAACAGCAAACATGAGCTCCTTGGGATCGAGCAGTGGGGTCCTCTTCTCTTGGCCTTTTTTGCCTCCCTTCCGGTGTCCCCTCCTCTTCTTGCTCTCACCCCAGAGGTTGGAGCCGCCGTGCATGCTGGGAATGTTCAGAATCGCAATGCCTTCCAGGGAGATGGTGCTGAGGTCCAGGGTAACGCCGTCACACTTTGAAACAAAAAAAACAAGAGTTGACCATTAATCCTTTAATTTACCCTAAAATGTTATCAAAAATGATTTTAGAAATTAGTCAAAAAAAGCCCCCAAAAAAAACTTTGCACAGAGGTGTGAAATTTTGTTTTAAAAAGTAGCTTCCTGATGTTTAAAAGGTTTTTTTGTTTGTTTGGCCGTTTGCTCTTCAACCTGACTTCTTTTAATAGGTTTAGGTTTTGATAAAAAAAAAAACCCTGAAAAAAAAAAGACATACTAAGGGTTGTGTTTTTATCAACTACAATCCGTCTTCAACTGTCAGTCCTGTTCATTTACAGAAAGAAATATTCAAAACTGATTAACAAAGACCTGTACGCTGCCTATGCTGTGTGTGTGTGTGTGTGTGTGTGTCAGATGAACTGAGGAGATACCATCTTCATTATCACTCAGTATCACACACAGTGGGGTCACCTCAGGCTAATTACCTCTGTGTTGAGCTGTGCTTTTGTAAGAAGAGACGTTCTCATGATCTCCTCCATCTATCAACACTTTGTCTGCTCCGGTTTGGAAATAGCATAAATTTGGATTATTTTTGGAACAATGGCTGACCAAAAGGCTTCTCTTCCTGACCTGTTTAACCGCTAAAACACACCGCACGGCCAATAATACGTGTGAAGCAATCAACATTTTTTTATTTTTTTTTCTGGACAAAACTAGAGTCAAACCCAAAGGACAGGAGACACATCACATTGACTCTTCACTGATATGAAGCATAAAAGTTTTGTTTTTATTTATTTACCTCGACCTCCAAAAAGTCGTGGAGCTTCTTACACGTGGCGGAGAATGTCTCTGAAGTTCCAAACTCAAAGTACCACAGTTTGTTCTTTGTTCTGAAAAAGAGGAAAACAGGAACTGCTGAGACCGGGATGATGAAACATAGGCCTTAAGATTTCTGAAGATCGTGTAGTTTCGTCTTCTCCCGTCTTTGGTTTCCTTCACGACAGTGTGCTGAGTGTATTACGTGGGAAACAAAATTGTGTGACAAGTGAGTTTTGTCTTAAGATCTTCCAGGATGAACCACGTTGTCAGGTTTGTTTTAGAAGTTTAGTTCTGTTTGCACCATCCCCTGCAACCATGCTCTGAGAACTAGAATAAGACACAAGGCACAGTCTCACTCAATGACACACTTAAAGAATCAACTTGTCGTTTTGTCTCCTTTTTCTCTCCTTTTTACACACAGGAAATCAGTCATTTTCTATCACGACCCACAACTGTTGTTGCTCCACTGCTGCTTTGTATTGCCAGTCCTTGTTTGGAGTAACACTAACGGACCACACGAGGCAGCAGTGACCCTGCGGGCCACAATGGGTTTGACTAGGGGGGCCGGGTCAGGAGCAGATAGATGGAACGTTCGTGTGAACTAAGACAAATGACATGTAAAAGTCATGCTAAAATGTTTTTAGCCTTTTCTACATCATTTAATGGAGAAATACAGGCATTGCAGGGAAAAAGCAGAAGTATAATAATAATATAAATAAATATTATTTAATTAGCCAAGTCCCTGTTTAAAAATTTGATTAAAAAAATCTTGAAATAATAGCCTGTTTGTGATTTCAATAATTATAAGGAAAAATTTGAACTAGCACTACTACTACTACTACTACTACTACTACTACTACTACTACTACTACTACTACTACTACTACTACTACTACTACTACTACTACTACTACTACTACT